CGTCTATAGCACCCTTGCACAATTTATGATGAATTATGGAAATGACTGGGACATGTACTCGGTTCCCTCCTACGTAGGCACCCAAATATGGGGTACGACTTCGAATCACGTGCTTTTGTTGTCCAGTCGTAAATCCTGCCTGATGACCTCTAGAGGTAAACTCGTGCACTAATGGGGGAGTTGGGTGGAGGCGAGAGGGGTGGCGCGCGGGGCCCGCGCGCGGGGCCGGCCCCCCCCCCCCCCCCCCCGCCGTTCAGTCGGACTCGAGCGCCACCCTCTGGAGGCAGGGAGCATCACATCGCTTCCGACCTCGGGCTGCAAGGGCCGGGGTCGAATTGAGGTTACAGCCCATTATGGCAAAATTATTGCATTTCCCTCGCAGTTCCATTAGGATGTACCAATTGTGAGGCCGTCAGCTGCCGATCGCACGCCCGGCGAGGATACGGAGGATTAGGGGGAGGTGGTGACTTGGAATTATTTACAACAACTTTATTTCCCTGGCTTTGTAGACCCTCTTATTTTTGTGTAGAGGTTGGGGTAGGTTCTGCCCGTCCGGCCCGCAGCTGTGAATTTTGAAAACACAGATATCACCTTCGGGGAATGGAAGACCATTTACCCAATTGAAGAAATAAATCCTTCCCACAGCAGCAGCCGCAATTATGGCTCTGTTTTTGTGAGCGCGTGAAGGACAGTGTCCCTGCCGCTCTTAAACGACAGGCGTCTATTAAAGACAGCTTTTGTGTAGTGTTTCTCCGAGGCGAGGTCAAATTCCATACACTCGTATAACCAGAGTCGATTTTTCTTTCGTGTAAATATGTTTTTCGTGTCATTAGTTTGTTATCTGATTTGATTATTTATCCAGCTCGGAATATCTTCATCCCTGGTCCGGTTCCTCCAGCCAGCCGGGTCCCAGGTAGCAAGGTTCTTGGTGAACCCAGAGAGTGGGCCCTGACTCTCTGCAGCCTCTGAGGCTGTTTGAAAGCTGGGATCCCTGGGTAGAGCTATTGGGGTCTTGCTTAGACCTCCAGGAATAAATTGCGGGAACTAATGGAATCATTTCGTGGCAGTGCCTAGTATCTCCGTAGTTATTTTCCTGGGCTCCGAGAAAGACCAAAGTAAATCACAAATGTAGCTGAGAGACAAGCAGATTCTCCCCACTAGAGGCCTGGCATCTCAGGCGTCCTTGGCACGCTTGGAAGTTAGGACTCTTCTGGCTCCCATGGTCCTGGGTCCCCTCTTTGGGTCCTGAGAGTTTCTAGGTGGCAGCGCCTAGCGCTGTACGAGGCAGGGAGTGGGAATCGGGAGCTGGGAGCCTGCGGAGAGCCTAGTCGCTCTAGAGGCTGTACTGTTCCACTCCCGGCCCAGGTTGGCTCGCCTCGGCTGAAGCTACGGTTCTCCGATTGACGGTTATGCGCCGGCAGAAAGACTTGGTTCTGTCGGGGAAGAGGGGAGTTCCCCTTTGTTCCTCCAGCTTCTTGTTTAGGGGCATCCTGAGAGGCTGCGACAGGGCTGGGGCCCAGCTCTTAGGCCCTTTCTTTCCAGTACCCAGAGCCGATTTGGCGATACCCTTCAAGATTTGATGGTGAGGGACCAAGGTGGTAAAACACAGATACCAAACCAGGCATTGCCTGGGGCTCTTTCTTTCCCCAACAACCCCGTGTCTGTAGCTCAGGGATCGCAGAGACTAACACAGCAGCCGGGCCAATTCTGGGTGCATCCCGGGACTCCCAGGCTGGCTCGAGCAGCTTTAGGGAGAGAACCTGTGTGTGTGTGTACAGTGCGTCTGTCCCACAGCTGACATTGGGTATTCGAGCTTTTGTTTTGTTTGTTTTCTGTAATAAGTAAATGTGCAGACGCTTGCAAAGCTTTGCATTTCCCTAAGCTGCGGAAGCACCCGGGTGGGAGCAGGCTGGAAGAAAACTTAGGGACAGGCAGAGGCACCAGGAGGGCAAAACCAATAGACGTTAGGACGCTGGCCTGGTCCCTCCTTCCTGCCCTGGAGTCTACTCGCCCGCCTTGGCCTCAGAGTCTTCCCCGCTGGGCTGTGTGGAATTGATGAGTTTATTTTCCTTTTTCCACTTCATGCGCCGGTTCTGGAACCAGATCTTGATCTGGCGCTCGGTGAGGCAGAGCGCGTTAGCGATCTCGATGCGGCGCCGCCGAGTCAGGTAGCGGTTAAAGTGGAATTCCTTCTCCAGCTCCAGCGTCTGGTAGCGCGTGTAGGTCTGGCGGCCTCTGCGCCCGTGACTTCCATACACCGCACCTGCAGGCAGAAATGTGGTGCGGGTAAGCCAGGCCAAACGAATCCACTCCCAGTGCCTCCCGACAACAGTCTCTAAGCTTGAAAACACCCTACTTCCTCCATAGCTTCTAGCATCACAACCGAGGGCAAAAAGCCGGCTGGATGACAAAGGTGGTTTCATGCCAAGCGAGATGTTTTTCACCTAAAAACGACTTGGGGTGGGAAGTTACTGCTTTTGACAAATGTGGTTTGTGAGAA